TTTGGTACCCGTGATCGAACTCGGGACCCTGCGGCGGAACCACTGAGCTAAATCCCAGACATCAACCTCCATCTCTTGTTCCCTCATTCATTTGAAAAAGATCTCCTTGCTTCCTATTTATCTTCTACTTTATTTCGCTCCCTTATCTCTTGCCCTTCTTTCTCTCTCATTCATACACACGCACACAGTTTTGGAGCTTCTCATATGAGAAAAACCATGTGATATTTAAGCCTGTGTGCCTGAAAGTGGTGTTTTGTCTTTTTAAGATATAACAAGTGGTTAGATCATCCAGTGATATGTGCATGTTGTAGCTTGCAAGGTCCAGAGCTAATGGTCTGCTTCATACCTGTCACTCAGCTAGCTGCAGGATAGTCTTAAAGAAACAATGGTAAAACATCCATGACTCTCCTTACTATCCCTGTGCAATGAGTGACTTCATGCTTGCCTGTGTGGGCATCTGTGTGGGCACCTTGGTCCCCTCTGACTGTGTGTTGTGGGCTGGGCCAAAGCAGGGACCCTGGGTGTCTTGTCCTGTTGCTGCAAGACTCCAGATCCCACCTGTGTCCCGCTCTGAGTAGTACTGCACTATGTGTTGACATCCTGCACTGGAAAATCCTAACTCTGTGTGGGGTTAGTGTTAGAGGAGCTGTAGTTCATAAGGATCCCAGTCCCTCATTTTGCTCTGAGATTTCTCAATGTATGAGAAGCTGGATCTCAAATTCTGGCCCTTGTCCCTACCATTTAAGGGCCTCCTGGATTTGACATTAAATTCCTTAAATTCTAGCCACCTACCTTTATTTTTGTTGGTGAGGATGGAACCCAGAGCCTTGTACCTTTGGGACCCACACTTTACCACCAAGCTATGTCCCCAGCCCCAAACTCTGCATTTTGATTGTATTAATCCATTTATTTAATGCTGTTCTTGAAATGGTTGGATTTATATAGGGCTTTCTGTTGCTTGGAATAAGGCAATTACATTTATATGGATTTATCAATGGATATTGTTGGTATGGTCTTTATTATTGCACTCTTAAAGTTTCATAATGATACCTACCCCTATTATTCTTATAATCCATGAGTTTCTTGGCTAATTTCATATATAGATACATTTTCTTCTTCCACATAAGTTTGAGAATTTTTAGGTTTTGATCCATTCTGTTACAAATTAAGCCCGTTGAATTTATTTCCCACTACTTTTGATGTTTCTTAGGTTTACAAAAATTTTACAGTTTTTTCTTAAAAGCATTAACTTAGTACTGGTATCAAATAGACTAAACATTCATTAACAGCAAAATATTCTTATTTTTATTTTTGAATATTATTCTCAAACACAATTGCAGTAATTTCACACATCTCTATGATTTTCTTTTTTTTACAAAATATGTAAATGTTTTAGATGTACATATTTTTACAAGGACATAATATAAGTTATTGTTTTATAAAAATATCCTGGTAAATATGTCCCTCCTTTGGCCTGTTGAATTTTTTATGGGGTAATTTAGATTAATTTTGGGGAAAATGGTCAGTTTTGAAGTTGGTTTTATTATCTACTCATGACATGAAATTAAGTTTTTCTATGAGCTTTTGCCAATTTTTATTTTTCATAAATTTGGTTTTCTTTTAGAAATGTATACATGTGTAATATCACATGGAAGTTACATCTATGTAAAATGTATTTGGTGTTTTATACTACTTGTTAAACTGGACCTATAAGACCTAGAAGGTGGCTGGTCCAGAGAATGTGCCCCACACATTTCTTATGTCTTTCTTTCTAAATGTGCCTCATGTTGCACTCATCCCTGGATTTCACTTGTTCGCACCCACACTACTGTGTCCTCAGATGCTATCATGATACCTATGTGCACTGATTTTTAACATCTATATCTAAAGTGGTGAATATTGGCTAAACTGTTTTCCAAATGGATTATAACAACTCACGTGACATTCCAAATGGATAATAACAACTCACGTGACATGTTCAACTTGTGAGAGTTCAGTTGTTCCTTGTCTTTATCAACAGTTTGTCTATCTGATCTGATTTTATTTTATGTTTCTCTGATTGCACTCTTTGGTGATCACTGAACATTTGAAATTTCCTGTACATATAATATGACTGTTCAAGTCTCTTGCCTGCTTTTCTTCTAGAACATCTGTCCTTATCTTATTTAAACTGTTTAGTCATATGTGAGGCAAGTAGTTTTGCCCACTCTCACTTTGTACTATTTAGTGGTTTAATTTGATAAACAGAATTTGTACTTTAATGTAGTCAAATTTGTAAATATTTTATTTTTAATGTTTAATCTTGAAAAGAATAATTTCCTTTTCTAAAGTAATCTGAGTGTCTGATAATTTCATCCTATATTTAGGATTAGTTATTTGGTAGGAAGAAAGGGTACACTAACATTATTTGCCATATAGATGCCCTGTTTTTCTAGCAGCTTTTATGCAGAAGGGAGTTTTTTCTAATCCTGTAGTGTGATCATTGTCCTTTATGAGTGTCTAAAAGGAAAGTCTTTTTTCCTTTTTTTTTGTTGTTCAGCTGTATTTAATTATCTCTTTGCCATGTTTATATTGATTTATGACATACAGTCATGTGCTGCATAGAACATTTTGGTCAATGATGGATTTCTTATACAACAGTGGGTATAACATATAGCTTAGGCTGTGCCTTCCAAGTTTGTGTAAGTACATTCTGTGATGTTTGCACAATGAGGGAATTATCTAGCCATGACTTTCTCAGAGTGTATCCCCACTGTTAAATGAGCTATGACTATATATGCATATAAGTTACAAGTATAAAATACATAATTAATACATAATTCTTCATTTTTAAATTTACCAAAACTCTTTCAGTTTCACTAGTATTTTTTTTAAACCGACATTTGGCATCATTACTACTCTCTATGTTCATTTTCATTATAGTTAAATTATGCTCTTTTACCAAGAATTCTCTTTACTCTCCTTGTATATATAAAATTTCCCTTTTCTAAATCATTGTGACTAATGATTAGCTCATGGATTCTTAGTCTCTTTTATTTACCTATTGGACTATGTTTCCTTTTTAGCCTCAGGTTTACGTGCATACTACTTTTATTTTTTAACCAATTTATTGCGAATAATTGACATATAGTAATTTACATATACTTAAGAAATACACACTTTCTTTTGTTATATGTGCACACCATGTGAAGCTAGCATGACAGTATGATTAACATACCCATTATCCCTTGTATTCCCTAGTTCATTCTAATGATCCTATCTGCTCCTCCTTGCCACCTTTTATTTTAAATACAATTATACATTTAAAAAATAAATACAATTATTATTATTTTATCAGGCAAGTGAGAAGCAGGGCAGACCTCAAAATCATATAGGTTAACAAATTATCATGTAAGAAATACACCACATAATTACTAGACCAAGAGACAGAACATTACTGAAGTTCCAGAAAACCTCCAGATGCCCTCTTTTTACCAGTGTCTGGCCCATTGTTTGGAGTGGTAATCACCAGGTTTCTATTTCTAGTACTGTTAGTGCACTCTTATAGGATCTTCCAGTGTGTTTCTCTTTTGCCTGGTGGAATTGATGGTTCATAGGCCATACATAAGAAGTTATTACCAAACTGTCTTCTAAAATGGCTCTGCCAATTCGTGCCACCATGAACAGTTTTTGATAGTTCCAGTTACTAAGGGTCTTTGTGGTTGCTAGTCTGTGTTGTTTTACTGCTCTTGTTTTTGCCTTTCTGGTGATTATCCAGTAATATCTGCTGGTTTTAATGTTTGCATCTTTATATTGGTGCTGATTTGTATACACATTCATATATTTATTTTGCTGCTGGGACCCATCCCAGGACCACACACATACTAGGCAAGTGCTCTACCACTGAGCTACACCCTCAGCCATGAGGTATATATTTTGTTATTAGAATGTCTCTTCCTTTGTGACATGCTAGTTGAATTCTCTTAGCTATAATTTTTTCTGTGGATGTCAGAGTATTTTCTCAGAAATATGTAGTATTTCATATAATCTGCACTGTAATCCTATTCCTTATAGTATTGCTTTATGACTAGATATTCCCAATTCTAAAATTTATTACATTTTTCTTTAGAATTTATTGTTTTAAAAATGTGAAAATGTTTTCCTAATAAAGTTCAAAACTTTTTCTCTAAAATTTCTTGCTTTAAGTCTATAGATGTTTTGAATGCTAAGATATAGGAACCAAACTTTATTTTACTTTTCATACTGGAATCCATTTAGGCTAGCAACATTGGCTAAGTCAAATAGAAATTTGTTGCAAAGTGAAAGAGTCATTTTCAGGACAGCAAGAATAACCTCTGCCACAAGACTCAGGGTGTCTGTTTAGAAAGCAAAGCATAAGATACTCAAATGAGAAATTATCCCAGAGGAAAATGCCATATTGCCCATCTCTACACAGTGAGAGGGCATGACCTGACTTTGGTCACTATCAAATACTTTGGCAGGTAGAGGTAGAAGAGGAATTGCTTGACCATTAAATAGGTTTTTCTAACTCAGTAATTTTTTTTTTCAGTACCAGGGATTGAACTCAGGACATTGTGCTTGCCAGACTGGCATAGTATCACTGAGCTATATCCCCATCCCTCTAACTCAGTAATTTTAAAATTTCAGGCAGAGTTAATTCTAAGTTCAGTTAATTTTCTTATAATAGAAATAGAGCACGACATAAAATACACCACAGACCATCAGACTGTATGGAAATGTTTTGTTTAAAATTTGTCATTTTTCAAAGGTGTGTACTATGTTGTCATATTGAATGCATTTCTTACCTTGGTTTAAATCCCAAGACTAACTAAAATCATCATGACTCTTAGTCTTATTATGAAACGTCTGCTAGTTGCAGTTCATTCATCCTGACTCAGCACACATATCTGCTTAGTAGAAAGGGAAGTGAAGTGCTGGTCTTAAGGAGTCACTTTTTTTTGGTACTAGGGATCGAACTTGGGTCCTTGCACTTGTGAAGCCGCCACCAGAACCACTGAGCTAAATCCCCAGCCCAAGGAGTCACTTTCTTGTGCTTGTGTGTGACTGTGTTTGATGTCTCTTGTGTATTCTAGAGTAGTTAGGTCACTACTCCATGGCCCCAGGTCTGGAATAAAGATCTTAGCACAACTTTAACTGTAGATTTATTCTATTAGAGTTGGTGGGAGTGGAGCTGCCATGAATAAAACTTGATGATGAGGTGACTGATCAGAAACTGAGGTACCTGAGAGTTCAAGGGTAACAAAGACCAATTCAGATGTCCAACAGAGTGCTCACTTTACCCATACAGGGCTTTTCTGTTTTCTCCATTCCAGAATTCGCTGTTTCATGTCATTAATTATAGGCTAATTAATGGCTCTTCTGAAAAAGTAAATACCCATTCCTTCCTACCTTCACCACTCACCTATTCATTGCATGAAGCACCAGGACTCTGTTAATTGCAGCTGGGTTCTCATTTTTTGATTCTTGGACTCTCCATCTGCACCTCTTATCACCGCACTCAGTTTTTCCTCCTCTTCACTGGAAGAAGAGCTGACTTTTGTCTTATGTACTCTTTAAAACTCTCACCTCTCCATAAATTGAAGCTGCATTTACATTACATTAATCAGTAATTCCTGATAAGTCTTTACCAATCTGATTAATGTCTGACATTATCATTCACAAGGGATTATTTTACCATCCCTTTTGGTGCTGGGGAAAACTGATTTGCTTCCAGAAGACAAAGGTCTGCTGTGGGCTGGGTCCATGTTAAGAGTTGAAGCCATGATGTTAAATATTTCATTCCATCCTGACATTTCCAAGCCCTGTTGCAATTAGGCTGGGACAGATGGTCAATGAATCACTTCCAAACAAAGCATTTCTACCATATGTTTCCCACCTGGATCATGGTTCAGATGCAAGAGCTGTAACATGGTGCCATCACCAGTCTCGGTCCTTGAGTCTTTGTGGAGCACCATGCATGCATAATTTGATCTGCATAAAGATGCAAGTGAGTAGTTTCTGAATCCAGAGAGATAAGGTCATTATTTTTAGAGAATAGTAATCTGGTCAAATCAGATGAATTTCATAATCATCCCAGCTTTCAAACTACATGGAAGGAAGCATGGAGCCAGACTGATGAAAGTCAGTTTCCAAGAAATCCAACTACAGAAAATTGTAGGCCAGGGTCTTGGAGAGGAGGCAGTGACACCTACAGTCACACATATACATAGAGATAACTGATGTTTGTATAACCCCGAGATGTGAATATATGCATTGCCTCACAATCGTGTGGATGGAGTCCAGGAATGTGCAGAGGGTGAAGAAAGCTTTTAATTGGGATGATCCAAGGCTCCATGGGCCTGGGAAAACTTCTATGGCTATAGTAAAACAGGTAGGGGCCTCTGTCTCCATATGGCTTGTTCCTATGCTATTCATTTGAATTCAGTCTTTCCAATGAGCTCATCTTGTTTTGATAATCTCCAAACATTTTCTTTTCAGGATACCAGAGGGAGTGCCCTGTACTCTTTCCCATCTCCTCACTGTTGTGGGTCTTCTATCCCCTCCTCCAGGCTATAGGTGAAATGCCCCTTCATTGTTCTTTGCATGGTGCTGCCCTTTTTCTATCCTTTTCCCTGTGTGGGGAGGACAAGCTTATTGGAGGATCCAACATTTCTTATGTTGTGTGGTCCAGACCCCTTGGGGTTTGAGGATAGCTCTCTGTTAGACTACTATCATGTTCAGTGTGACAGAGTCTTGGATGTCTTCCTAGTTGGAGGGTTCCATCAATACAAAGAAGAGCCCACACACCAGTGATTTTCAGCCACCATTAGAGGATAGATCAGTTCTTTCATAGAACCTGTGGAGTGGTTGTGGCCCTGCTAATGCTTGGATGTTAGTTCAGGGTCAGTGATGCTGGAAATAGGCCATCCAGAACTGTGAGAGAAAATGTTCCTATTTAATATAGTCAATTTCAGATGACTTCTTTCAGCAGCAATGGAAAATGAGGCTTTCTTATAATTTAAGTCTGTTACAAATTTGTATTAATTAGAGAACTGTAGCTGCCATTAAGTGGTAGCTCTCAAAGTTGTGCTAATCTGCTAGAAATTGTAGTTTAAGTGTTGCTGCCTCTCTTAAAATCAGCGACTGCAGGAATTTAACAAACAGCTTGTTCAGTGTGATCAAATAATCAATAAACTGTGGTACTTTCCTTAGCAGCAGCATCCTTTACGTGTGAGGTACATGGCATTTCTTGAAGAGCTGTTCCCTTTAAGCTGAGCATAGAGATCATCACCTTTACTATAAAATAGTTGTGATAACTTAGGTCTTAACAAATCTCTTCTTAAGCTCAATAAGGGACATTTTTCTTTTTTCAGTTAACAACACTTTTACATGTGGGGAGGGTTTCTATAATCTGTTCTCATTTTTATGGTTTTAGAGACAGGGTCTTTTTGTGTGCTTCATGCTGTTCTTGAACTATGTATGTAGTCCAGGCTGGCCTCAAATTTGCAGTGGTCCTCCTGCCTCAGCATCACAAGTGCTGGGAATATAGGTGTGCACCTCCGTGCCTGGCCTTATAATCTGTTCTTAAAGATTATAGGTTCTACACCAACTTAGTGGCATCCTTTATTTCATTATTTAAAATGAGAAAATTAGGCGAAGTCATCTGTTTACTTCTAAATTGTTTATTAAAATGTAAAAAGCAATACAATATCTACAAATAAGTAACAAATTTCATAGGACCTCTCTTAAGAAAGACATGCTGTTTATGAAAATGTGTACATGTGATTGTGAATTTATTTTGGTCATATTAATTATGTAATTCTGTTATTTCATTCCTACTCATCAGTATGTTAACACATTGAATACTGGAGGATTAGAGGCAAGAGTGTTTCATACGCAGTAAATCACAACAAATATTGGGTTTAAAATCTCATCTGATTATGATCCTATGAGTCAGCATTTTGCAGTGGATTGATCTATTTCATTCTTTGCCTCTGTGATATGGGGTTACAAATGAACATTAGTCATCTTGTGCCTTGAGAGCTTGGCTCTTTGAGAATAAATTCACTCATGTTTGATTTCTGCAGGTGCCTGGCTAGGCTATGTATGTCCAACTGTTTATCTCCAGGGCCAATTAAAAGATGTCAGTATTCCAATAAGGCAATTTGCATTGGAAAAATACTTTCTACAAACTATGCTTTAACTCATTTTTAAATGTCCAGTTGGCCCAAGAAAATGAAATGGCAGAGCTCTGAGTCATTGTAGGAGGGAAACACACAAATGTGTGAATATCAAGGGACTTGTGACTGGGAATCATTCCTTAAAAGTAAATGCACATTATGTACATTTGGCCTAAGCAGTTTTGGGGCAGAAGTGTTAAGTTGCAAGATGCATAATTTCTATGAAATTTAAACACATGAAAGAGATGCTGTAATGGAAACACCAGTATAGAGCGTTATATGCCACACTAGTATTGACAGAAAGATAATCCTGCTAAGTATTTTCTATACTTTAAATCTTAGTGGCTACATATGTCTTCCTTCAGCACCCTTTAGTTTCATTAAAGGGCCATCACTACAACTTTATATCCTCATGATAACATTTATTGTTAATAAGTCAGAGGCAAATAAATGTCTCCCCTAACCTAAGAATTGTTTCATGTTTACCAATTAATAGAAATTTCTCTTGTCCTTCAGCATAATCTTCAGTTGTCATGTATAAGACTGTCTCTCCCCACAGAAAAACATTATTTTCTAGTTGTCTTTCTCCCCTTTAGTGGTAAGGCACACCAACTCTCTCAGACTCTTTCCATTTACCTTCTTTTTCACCTGTAATTCCAGAGTCTGCTGTGTGTCTCCAAGATCAAAGAAATGAACCTATCTGTGGTAAGTTGTTTATTTGTTCTTCCTTAGTTTGTTTTAGGAGTAGTTTAGGAGTTTTCTTGGCATTCATTAATTAAACTGGAAAAATAAATAAAACATAACATCAGAAAAACACAGAGTCCACTAAAAAATGTACACACTTCAGCAGTTCACTGTATTAACAAATGTCTGGAAGCTAATGACCATCACTTTGAGCACCTCTTGTAATTGTAGAGCCATTATATCCATTATAATTGTAGAACCATTATATCTTTTCTCTGGCACCTGCTTTACTTGAATCTTCTACTATGATCTTCACCTGGAAATTTTTATTTTTATTTTCTGGCATGACATTACTGATTCTTTTTTCCTGAATTATATACTTTTCTTTGTGACGTAGATTATTTAAATGTTGTTTCCTGTTCACCATTCATCTCATTTTACAATTCTTATAAATTATGGTTTGAACATTTTCTATTTTCTTTTCACCTTGGACCTCTTCCCCAGCCATTAGCTCATAGTGTCAACTCCCTTGTAGCTATCCAAGGGCCACCTTAAGTTCCACAATCCAAAATATAAAGCACATCCACCATTTTTCTATTATTTTTAAAATTTATTTATTTATTTAATACCAGGGATCAAACTCAGGACCTTGTACTTGCAAGGAAAGAAATTTATTTTTATTATTAGATGTTTTCAGTATATAATGATCACATTCATCATGGGGAATTTAAACATGTGTATAACATACTCTTTTTCCCCTCACCTCCCTTCCCTTCAACCCTTCTTCCCCTTCTCATTCACGAAAGCTCTATTTCCATTTTTCTTTCAATTCTTTTTTTCCACTGCCACCATTTTCCCTTCCTTCCCCCATTCTTCTGTTCTCTGTGCTATTATATAATTTGACTCAAATTACTAAAATGAGCTTTTTCCTGACCTTATCCCCTCTTGTGTATCTAGCATCATGTACCATAAAATTCTGTTTTCTTTGTTCAGTTTTTATCCTAATGCCTACATTTAATGGCTAGAGATAATGAAGATTGGTTGGATCTCAAAAACATATGTAGTAAGTTTCATAAAATATTTTTACCAACATTTAGTAAATCTTAAGAAAGGGGCCAAAAACATACACTGGAAAAAAGAGTTCTTTTAGCAAATGCTGCTAGGAAAACTGGTTATTCACAAGCAGGACAGTGGATCAAATCCTTTCATACTCTGTACTGTAATCAAATCAAAATGGATCAGAGACCTAGACACAAGAACAGAAATACTGAATCTGCTGGAAGGTAAAATAGGCATAGCACTTGATGAAAATTCATAAGCAAGGTCTTTGTGAACATAACCTCAATTGCATAAGAAATAATACCAAGAATCAACAAATGAGATCATATCAAATTTGAAAGCTCTGTACAGCAAAGAAAGCAACCAACAGAACAATAAGGCAACCCACAAAATGGCAAAAAATTTTGCCAGCTACTCTTGGATAGAATACTAATCTCTATACAATATATAATTAAAAAATTAGACCCCAAAATTAAAGACTCAGTCAAAAAATAGGCAGTTGAAATGAATAAACACCTCAAAGAATTACAAGTGGCCAATAAATCCAGGAAAAAGTGCTCAACAGATTGGGCCAACAGAGAACTGCAATTTAAAACAACACTGAAATTACCTCTTACTCCAAAAAGAATGGCTATCCTCGAGAACATAAAAAACAACACATGGCTAGTGAAGCTGTTGGAGAAAAAGGAACCATGATGCATTGTTCGTGGGAGTGTAGCCTAGTATAACCACTGTAGAAATCAATATGGAGAATCCTTAAAATTCCATTTGACCTAGATATACCTCATCTGAGTATCTTCTCTTTAGAGATAAAAATGTTAAAGATGTGGGTTTTTTTATAAAATGTTTTTTAAAATATATATTATATATATATTTTATAAAATGGTTTCTCAGCCATAAAGAATGATAAATGAGATATTTATAACTAAGTGGATGCACATTGAGGCCATACTCTTAAGTGAAATTAATGTCACACAAGTTTCTCTGGTGTGAAAAACTAAGTGTAAATAAAGATAAAAATGTATAATTGATATTGTGCAATAGAAAGAAAAGGTCTAAAAGAGTGGAGGAAGTGGGAAGGGTAGGGGAAAGGTAAGAAGGGAAAAGAAAAAATACATGAAAAGGAAAAACACAATGTCTTTGTAAACAGGGAAGGGTTGAGGGGCTGAAGGGAGGGCTGGGGAATGGGGAAAAATAAGAACCAAGATACATCATGTAAAGGTACATGATCCCAATGATGAATGAACTATATTGTATACCTAAAATATATCAATAAATTAATAAAGATAAAAATAAAAGTTACAGTCATCCTTGTATACTCATAATTTTATAGGAGTACCATTTTAATAGCTAAATTAAGGAAGTTACTAACAGATAAAGACAATGTGCTCTATATACACAGTGGAGTACAACTGAACCCTAAAGAAAGACAAATTTAAGTATAGGAAAATGGATACATTTTGAGACCAATAATGCTAAGTGATATAAATCAGATACGGAAGCTCATGTGGTTTCTCTTACCTGAGAAAGTAAAAATATGAATGATTTAAAGAGGAAAAAGAGATGATAAACATGGTGGCAGACATGAAGTTAAGGGGCTCAGTGAAAGGGGGCAGAGGGGAGGGGAAAGGGAAGTAAAAATGTTTAAGATGTGATATATATGTGTACAGTTCTCCATGTTAAGTGTAATAATTGTTGTGATCACAAGTAACAAGAGAATAAGTTTCTTTTTTTACATTAAAAATGTCTTTCTTGACAAAACCTGAAGGACGTATTTGTGCAGTGATGTGCACTGACCTCTTCTGAGCTGCTCTGTTATCAGGAAGGGGTGATGACAGTGTTGAGCGGAAAGCAGCTTTCTAGAGTCAGTAGAGAACAATTTGCTTTGCTTTGCCATGCTCATCCACCATGAAGTTTCTGCTTTGGAACGAGTTGATCATTAAATGCTTCCTCCATTACATTCTTTTCTTATGCAAAAACTAATACTGAAAGTCAGCAAGCAGCAAGAGTAGGAGCACTTGTGACTGTACCTGATTATGTAGTTATGTAGAACTCTTGGATCTGATTTGTGGGAGGGGTTTTGGAAAGTTCTGTACTGTATACCTAAAAAACACCAACAAACAAAACCAAATACACTTATCCTACCATCCTTGTCACTCTCTAAAGCAGTTCTAGAAGTCATGTTTTGTGAGTGTCTTTATGAAGTGTGACCAAAACTACAGTGAGTGCTGATGGCAAGTGCTGCCTTTAGTAAGGCCAGCTTGTAAACATTAGGGTGTGTCCTGATATTCCCCAGGTCTGGTGCTGGGTGACTTCTGGCTCTTTGCCGATGTCAAAATGACCATGAAAGATAAATGTTTTAAATTGACTTAGGACACTGAGACAGGCAAAAAAAGCACAAGTAAAGACCCTCATGAAAGAGCACTTCCAGAACTGCTTCAGAAAGTGGCAAGAACAATGGGATAAGTGTGTTCAAAATAGATGCGGGGTGGGGATATTTTGAAGGGGATTGGAGGTGATGTGGCTTTTACTGCAATAAAAATGTGTTTTATTAAAAAAGAAAAGAAAAGCTTAGAACATTTGAAGTGGAGCATACTGGGCAGTGCTGGTCCTGGCTCAGAGACCAGAATACAAATAGGAGGACAGACAGTAAACACTGCTCAGATGGGAATGAGCACTATATTAGGACTAGGACCAAAGGCCATTTATGTTACATTGTGGCAAAAACAAAGTCCTTGTTGGGGAGCTGGTTTTACATATCACAAAATAAGCAGGTAGAGAAATTACAAGGCAACACAAAGTTTTGACTGCCAGCTTGTTTTAACCAGATCACATTGAGAATGAGGAACGAAGTGGAGTTGAAAGATTTAAAATCATTGAATTTTGACCAGAAATGAGTGTGTAAAAAAATTGAGGCCAAGAAGTTGTGGTTGCTGAAAGAATAGTGCCACTTAAAAGCCAACTTTCTATAGTTTTTTTGTTTGTTTTTTAATCACGAGTGGGTGTTGGATTTTGTCTGATGTTTTTTTCTGCATCTATTGATGTGATCTTGTGGACTTTGTTCTTGGTTCTATTAATGTGCTGTATTTACTGATATGTGTTTGTTGACACTGCATCTGAGGGATGAATCCAACTTGGTCATATTGTATAATCTTTTTGATTATTGGCTGCATTCTGTTGTCCAGTATCTTACTGAGGATTTTTGCATCTATGTTCATTAAGGAGATTGGTGCATAGTCTTTTTTGTTGGATCCTTCTGTGGTTTTGGTATCAAGATAATGCTTGCTTCCAGGAATGACTTTGGGAGTATAGCTTTCTTTTCAGTTTCATTAGTTTGATGAGTAGTGGAATTAGATTTTTTTCTGAAGTTCTTGTAGAATTCAGCAATGAATCTGTCAGGGGCTTGGCTTTTCTTTGTTGGTAGTTTTGTTTGTTTGTTTGTTTTGGTACCGGGGATTGAACTCAGGTCCTTGCACTTGCAAGGCAGGCCACCGAACCACTGAGCTAAATCCCCGGCCTTGGTAGTTTTTTAATTACTTCTTCAGTTTCATTGACTGATACTGGATTATTTTAAAAATTTATTTCTTCTTGATTCAGCTTTTGTAACTCATATGTATCTAGAAATCTGTCTGTTTGCTCTGCATTTTCTATCTTATTAGAGTACAGGTTCTTAAAGCAAGTACCAAAGATCTGGATTTCTGGAGGATCTGTTGTAAATTCACCCTTTTCATTCCTCATTGCAAGAATTTGGGTCTTTGTTTTCATAAGATTGGCTAAGGGTTTGTCTATTTTAATTAACCTTTAAAAAAAAAACAACTGTTCAATTCAGTCTCAATTGCATTAATTTCTGCTCTGGTCTATATGATTTCCTTCCTTGTATTAGCTTGAAGTTTAACTTGCTCTTTTTCTAGAAGCTTGAGGTTCAACATTGGTTTGGTTTTATTTTGCTCTGTTTTTGAGCT